GTCATTGAGATCGGCCATATTGTCCATCAGTTGTTCCTGAGACAGTGTCACCCATGCAAACGTAGAGGGCTGATCGCTAAGCACTGCGCAATATCCATGGCACCTCCCATTTGGGAATACCGCTCCTTCCTAGCTGCACGGGATGATGCCACGGTTGACTCACCATGGCTGAAATTCTGAAAGATGGGCGCCACGTGCCAAAATGAACGTGCTAAACATGCCAGGCAAACAGGTCTTGATGACCTGCTTTCATGGCCTCGACCGTCATCATGTTGATCTCAGCCTTCCAAGTTGTCACTCCATGGCAAAACGCCGATAACCAACAACTACTGCAGCGCCTGTTCTTGTGCTCCAGCAAGGGAATCCACATTGAATTGCGTCCCCAAGATCTGGTCACGCTGCTGCTCGTACATCCTCTTCCTACGTCTTGTGGTTGTGCTGGAAAGGATTCGCAACGGAGCTCAACGCTTGTAAATACAGCCTTTGACAATTACCAAGCCTCTTGACAATTACCAAGCCACTCACGACAATGCGCTGCGCGGAGCTATCTGCTTCATTTTGCTGCCCCATGAACCCGGGAACATCAACCGAGGAGGCAATGGGGCGATGGCCAACCAAGATGGTGAGGAGTTTCGAGCTGGACATGATACATTTATAGCTCGTGTCCCAACACAAACATCAAAGCAACGTGTTGCGTCGACAGGAGGGCGCAGGAAAGAGCGTTGCTAAGGAATGCAGATCGCGTGCTTTGTTTGTTAGAACGGGTGGCGATTGAATTCAAGATTTGGTTTTGCTTTTTGCTCAGCCTTTTTTGTTTCTGCTCCCGGGAACTGGTACTCTGTGTGTTTACAGTGTCGTGAAGCAAACCGCCGGAATCTTGAGGGTTTTGGCGGGCTTAAGGTTTGAAAAGGGAGGGTGGGCGATTTGGCCTTCTTTAGGGCGTGTTCGCCGCTAGTGTAGGGTTGCTTAGGGTTTGCATAGGGGGGTTTGGGTTGGTCTAGGGATTGCTTTGGGTTTATATGGGGTTGGCTTAGGGTAGGTCTAGGGCGTAGGTTGAGTGTTCAGGGGCTCAGGGTTGGCTTAGGGGGTCTACGGATGGGTTCAGGGTGGGTTTAGCCTGGGATTAGGCTTTGTTTGCGAGGTTTGGGGTTGGAATAGGGCTTGCTTATCGGTGTAGGATGGGTTTCGAGTAGGGTTGGTTTAGGGCCGGCCAGGATTGGGCTGGGGTTTAAGGGATCTTTGGGGTTGTGCTTTGGATTTCCTTTAGGTTTCGTTCAGGGTTGGGATTTGGGTTGCATCTTTAGTGGTGATGCTGGGGTTGCCAGTGATGCTGAGGATGTGGAAACTGCCCAAAGCCACAAAACACCGCAAAACGCAACAACCGCCAAGAAACCAGCCCGGAGAAAAACAAAACACTAAACTGAAAAAATGGCCTTCCTGTTCTAACCCTTGGACGATGTTCGCAACGTTGCTGAGTTACACACACACACACACACGCACACATACGCAGGCACGTGCACACACACACACACACACCAAATCTATCTGCACCAAACAATGCTGGCGCTGCGTAAAGGAATCTTGTCGAGTCAAGCACCAAACTTAACATTAGCACTCTTGCGTTTCTGGCCCGCGGCCTTCCAAGTTAGAAAAGAGCTCATCATGGATCAAAGCGAGGAGAACTGGTCTGCAGTCTTTATTTATTCTGCAAGCTACTAAGGACTCAAGAACTAGCCAGCTGCAAACATACCGTGTAGCCCATCAATACGAGGCTTTGCAGTGGGATCGCTTCCGAATACTTCCCAACGACTCAAGGAACCCTGTGCACCCTACCTGCCCGTGTCAGAACCCCCACAGAAGCGGGTTATTTGGGTATCAATGGCTTGCAGATAGCCTGCTGGAAAGTCTCTTTCTATTCGATGATGCCATGGACCCAACTCCACAAGCACCTTCAATCTATGTCTCATGCTTCATTCCAACACGGTCCTCTTCAGGCACTGCAGTGCCAACTGCTTCTGCTGACCTCCTTTGGCTGCTACATAGCGCCGGAGATCCTCCCAGCAACGTGCTCCAGGCATGCTGCTTGGAATGGCCTCCGAATTGCTCTTGGCACAACACAATATTGACGTGACAAAGCCAGAATACAGTTGTGTTGGCTTTCTAGTCAAGCGTGACAAGATGTGCCAAGAGATTGCCAGGCACTCACCCTGAGAAATGAAATGCTGTCGCAACACCACCCGGACACAGGGAGGCACGGTCCTCATCACACTTGGCAATCTTCTTTTCAAGGTCAGTAACCTGAGCAGGTCAAAACCTCTGCACTGGGCACAGTTGTCGAAAAGAACCTGCTGACAAATCTGTGAGGCTCGGGCCCGCGAGTCAATGCGGGAAGAGGTGTCTTGCAGGCTGGGCGCAGGGCCTGTGGGAGGCGCCTCAACTGAGCGCCGACTGATCACAGAATTCGCTCGTGACCAGCATTCTTCGACGATGCTGGTACCCT